TGACGCAGGACAATGGCACGCCGGCAATCAACGGTAGTGTAGCAGGAGAACAGAGCGGAGGCGGCAATGAGACGATCGGAAGCGCGTCCGCTCCGTACACCTGGACACTGCAGCAGAGCGTGCCGTATTTTATGGCCGAGGACAGCGACATGGCACAGTGGGGCAACTTCACATACTCGACCGCGCCGTTTGGTGCGCGCCTAAGCTACGAGAACGGCGATCCCGTGGGTGTGCGATATGGCTTCATAACTCAGAGGCAGCTTCCTTCCGTTGTGCAACGCGACTTTGCGAGCTTTACCGGAAGAGAGTCCGTGTTCGCCTTCGCGCACGACTTTGGCAGTATCGGCGGCGCCAGCGACCGTCGGAAGGAAGTGTCGGTGCGGTACAGCATAGGCTCCCTCCAGACTCCGGCGGCACGATACCTCTATTACGGCGGAGTGGCCCAGCTCCGACCGTGGTGGCACACGTGCTATGGTGAGGACACAGCATCGCTGGTGCGCTTTCACTGGCACGACTTTGAGACAGTCAGCCGGTTGGCAGCGGAGATGACAGCGTCGTTGAAGAGCGACATTGCGCAGTTTTATGAGGAAGAGGTCGACGGTTGGGCATCGTCAAACAACAGCACAAACGGCACAGTCAAAGCCACAACACGGCATGCTCTCTTCCCCAACACAACGGTCCTGACCACAACAACAGTGACATCGACGTCGACAGGTGCGACGGCACAGCCGAACGCCACCAGCACTAACACGGCCCAGGGATACTACATCTTCGACCCCGACACGGCGTATGGCTTCCTCAGCACTCGTGATAACACCACCGGTGTAGCCGTTCCAGATGTGTCCGAAGTAGATGCGTTGTATGCCATCGTGGCCCTGTCCGCGCGCCAGGTCATGGGATCGTATATTTATGCGATCCCTCCGTCGGCACCCTCGTCGACGTCATCCGTCGAGCCGCTCATGTTCCAGAAGGAAATCTCCAGCGACGGCAACCTCAATTCCGTCGACGTTATCTTCCCTGCGGCGCCCTTCTTCCTGTGGGCCAACCCGGAGATGCTCAAATACATTTTGACGCCCGTGTATGAAATGCAGGAGGGTACGTTCTACCCCAACAGCTACTGCGCCCACGACATTGGCGCACAATTCCCCAACGCCACGGGCCACGTTGACGGAAACGACGAGTACATGCCCGTCGAAGAGTCGGGAAATTTCATCTTGCTGTCGCTTGCGTACTACCGCTTTGCAAACGGGAACGCGGACAGCAACGCAACCGCCTGGCTTGCCAGCCGCTACCGTTTGCTGCGGCAGTTTGCGCAGTATCTCGTCGATTTCTCGCTGGTACCGGCCGCGCAGCTCAGCACCGATGACTTTGCCGGCACGCTCGCCAACCAAACCAACCTGGCCATCAAGGGCATCCTGGGCATCGCCGCCATGGGCGAGATTGCGCGTATCGCAGGTCAGCCGCATGATGCCGACCATTTTGAAACCATTGCCCGCGACTATTACCGCAAGTGGGTGTACCTGGCCGTCGACCCGACCGGCCACTCGCACACGCTGCTTGCGTATCAGTGGCGCTCAAGTTGGGGCCTTCTGTACAACGTGTTCATGGACAAGCTGCTGGACTTGGGCGTGGTCGGCGACGATATATACGCGATGCAGTCGGAATGGTACCCGCAGGTGTCCCAGGTCTTTGGCGTGCCGCTCGACAACCGCCACCACTACACCAAGAGCGACTGGATGATGTGGGTGGCTGCAACTTGCACGCCCAAAACACGGCGTCTGCTGGTGACGAGCCTAGCATATTGGCTCAACTACACCACGACAGAGCATCCGTTTTCCGACTTGTTCGAGGTCGTCGGGTCGGGCTACTATCCGCAGGTGCCGCAGGACATCCGCTTCCAGGCACGGCCCGCCGTCGGTGGCCACTTTGCCATACTGGCCCTGGCGCGGAGCCGTCAACTTGGGAACGGAAACATCGACGGGCATGGAAATGCGACTGGCAACTCAACAAGTGAAATGGCTTTGCCGACCGGTGCGAGCTCCGACTTGAGTGGGAACGGCTCCAAGACACCGCCGCCGACGATCGTTTTCGTGACGGGCGGCACAAACACGGGCACAGCAATGAGCTTGACTTCCGCGGTAACCTCATCCAAGTCTCCGCCGACGTCGTGAAGGCTGTAAACTCAAAGTCGGCCAGGCTGAGTCATCCGGCAGAAGATGTGGCATAGTAAGACGAGAAGTGGTTGAGAAGACGGAGAAGAAGTGAGCGGATGGTGGACAGCATCAGAAGATGGAAACAATGATAGAATTTGAAGGCATGTGGATGTTATTTGCAGTCATTTTGTTTGCGATGTGTTCTCTCTCATATGGATTCATAGACGCGTTCGAAAAGAAATAAAATGAAGACATTTACGGTGTAGGTTGGGCTTAATGACTAGCGACAGCTAAATTACAGTTGGTCGTAGCAATATTACCGCACTAAATCAGTGCTCAAAACAGACCGAACGTCAAGTGCTGTGGAGCATCCTTTAGCGCAAGGCACCCCAGTCGTGCCTGCCTTCGTGGCACGGCTATGACCTTGAAAAGAGCTGCCCCGCCAAAAGGCAATTAGTTGTTATCGAAGATGCATCATAGCTTCGACTGTAGCTATATCTAACTCAAACCGTCTTCTACTTACTACAGTGCCAACGGCAAACCGAATCACAAGAGCCATACACCCATACGCAGAAGAACAACCATATATACGACCAACTCGCTACCGACATAGACCATGTCCAAAGCCCAGCTCGGCCGGCTCATTGAGCTGCCGGACGATGCTCTGCAGCAAGTGCTCGACTATGCCTCGACGCTGTCCAAGGCTGAGGCTGCCGAGCACTTCTCAAACCTGTTGGGGAGCGACCCTGCTGCCGTCGAGTTCGTCGCGGCCTTCAACGCACGGCGGCACGACCCTGCGGCGGGCAGCGCATCGTCTGTCGCAGCAGCGAGCCATTCCGGTGCGAACACACCCGGAACGAGCAGCCCCGGAGCCATTGAGCCGGTTCCCAAGCACCACAGACAGAAGAAGAAGAAGGCACCGCTACACACACCGCCGCCACGCCAGGTGACGAATCTGGCACCACCGCCAGGCGCAGTGTACAACAAGAAGGACGTTGGGGGCGACTACATGGGTGGTCGGTCATCGGGCACCACGACGCCGCTGGCAGTCGCGGCAGCAGGCATAGCGCGCGGTGCGACGCCAGTATCTGCGTCAACGACACCACCACCGCAGCCCTCGCCTAAGAAGCAGCCATCGCCACAGCCACAAGCGTCGGCGCCGTCACAATCACAAAAACAGCAACGGTCAGGCGCCGGCGGCTCGCTGATCCAAGACGCACTCGGCCCCAAGACCAAGAATCGAGCGTCCAGCAAGGATACCTCCTCCACCAAGATCAACATTACGGGCGGCACTGCCATGCACGGTGCCGCAACGGCATTGGCTGACTTTGACGCCGCCATCCGCTCGCTTGAGGTGAGCACGAACCCCACGCTGGCCAACAACGGCAGTGGAAACGGCAAGGACGGCCAGGATAGCGTTTCCGCTCGCCGCTGCAACTGCGTTGCCACGCGCCACCCGCTGCAAAAGGCCGCACCCAACTGCATGTCGTGCGGCAAGGTCATATGTGTGAAGGAGGGCTTGGGCCCGTGCACGTCGTGCGGCGCGCCGCTGCTGTCGCCGGCGGACGTGCAAGCCATGATCAAGGAGCTGCGCGCGGAGCGGGGCCGCGAGAAGATGGCGGCCGACCGCGAGGCAAACCGGCGCATCGATGTGAGCTACGGCGGAAAGAACCGCATGGGTGCGGCCATGACGCACGCACAGCACGCGTCGGGTCCGCACATGATTGCTGGGCAGGCGAAATGGGGCGGTGACGACAACGGGTTTGTCAGTCTAGCAGAGGCGGCCAAGGCCGCGGAGACGCAGATGCAGACGGCCGAGGCCAAGGCGCGCGCACACCGCGACAAGTTGCTGGCGTTCCAGGCGCAGAATGCGCAGCGGACGACGGTGCGCGACGAAGCAGCCGATTTTGACGTGGGCGACGCCATGGCGAGCGGCGGCGATGGCGACACACCGACGTCGCGCAACCTGTGGGCAACACCCGAGGAGCGGGCGCGCGAGCTGCGGCGGCAGCAAAAGCTGCTGCGGGAGATGGAGTGGAACGCGCGGCCCGAGTACGAGAAGAGGCAGCAGGTGCTTAGCATCGATGTGACGGGTCGCAAAGTGTTCCGCAAGGCCGTGGTGATGGACCGCCCGCCAACGCCAAAGAGCGACGACGACGATGACAACGTAAACGACGAGTACGGACACGGCGGCAAGGGCGCAGCGATCCTTACGGATGCAGACGGCAACAAGGACACGAGCGCCAGCAGGCGCACGGCAGGCAGCGGTGCCTTTAGCAAGAACCCATTGCTCGGCCACCTGATCAAGCCAGTCTACGATGCTCAGAGCCGTGTAAAGGCAGCCGAGAAGGACAAGACTGAGAAAGAACATGGAAAGGGCAAGGGCAAGACCAAGGACAACGAGGCAAGCAAAGGCAAGAGAAAGGCCGAGGCCAAACAGGAGGAAGCTGCTAGCAGCAGCAAGGATGCTAGCGAGGCATCTCCCTTGCCTGGCCGCCGAGACAACCCCAATGCAGCCAGTCGCTGGCGGCGTGTCCAAGACGACCTCGACAACAATGAGGCCGTGATTCTTGACGGTGGTATCTACGGTGCGGGCGTGCCAAAATCGACATTGCCTGCCGGAGACGAGCCCGAGAGTGGCTGACCGTGCAGCGAAGGTCACTGCTAGGCGGATGACATTGCATGTAGAAATTTTATAGTTTGATAAAAATGTAAAATAAGTTAACAAGCAGTGATATCTAGTTCCATGCCATTAAGAAAACCACGAGCCATACACAAAGTCCATCAATGGTATTCAGCGCTCCCACAAAACTCAATCTCAAAATCCAGTGTCCAACTTGATCGCTCTTAACGGCTCGAATGAGACGTTAGACGCTCTAGCTGTGCAATAGAGGTTTGAACCTCCTCGTCAGTCGGCAGATTGACAATCAAGAGGTACAAAACGTCCTGCTGCATGATCTTCTTGATACCGCGGGCTGCACCACCACCCATGCCGCGGTTGTTGGGACGGTTGTTCATGTTGTTGTACTGGGTGCTGCCACCTTGGTAGTTGGCACCAGCGTTGTGGCCAGCGTTGTTGCGCTGCTGTTCATCACCGCCGTACGCCTGCTCGTTCTGGTAGTTCGCTGAACCACCATAAGGTGCCGGAGGGTTCGACGAACCGTACGGAGCAGGCGGGTTGGACGAGGCCGACGAGCCTCCGTACGGAGCTGGGGAAGTAGCGTACTGCATCTGGCCCTGCTGGTGCTGGTCGTTGTCACGACGGTCGTCGAAGAACCCGTTGCCGCTGCCGTTGCCGTTGCCGCTGGGGTTTCCGCTGTCAATGGCGCGATTTTGGCTCTGCTGCCGCTGCTCCCTGATTTTTGACACGCCGGCGCCAATCAGACTGATGCCTATGCCGATTGGGCCTTGGCGGCGGCGGCGATCCCAGTACGAGTTGCTCTCGGAGCCGTCCTCGTGGTAACCACTGCCGCCACCCATGCCGCGACCAACAAGACTGCCACCGAGACCACCGCCCAGACCGGCACCAACGCCACGTCCGAGCAGGCCTTGGCCGCGTCTGTTGTTGTCGGGCACGATTTTGCCGCCGGACAACAGTGCGACCAACGACCCGCTGTTGGCCGGGTGGTTGGGGTCGGCAAAACGTGACATGAATGGCTTGCGGGCGTCGGCGGGCACGGCCATCGACGAGCCCTGGTGCGTGCCTGCATACTCGGCCTGGGCGCGGCGGTCTAGGTAGCTCGACACGAATTTTCCGGACCTGTGCCACTTGCTGTTCTTGGGTACTTCGCCGCCGCCTTCAACCGCAGCCAGGTCGCGCTCAGCAGCGTTGTCGAGGTCTGGGTAGACGAGCTCGGCGGCCTGGGGCAGCTCGAGCTCGGTGTAGGTCATGCCGTTGTTTTTCCGCAGGTTGCGCATGGCAGCCTTGGTTTTGTGGCCCTTGTTGGCGGCACCGTTGCTGCCGAGCGCGGCCAACTGGCTGTATTTCACCGTGGTCTGGTTGATGTCGAGGCGCTCCGTCGATACAAGGCTCTTGCCAATCGCCGACTTGAGGCCGCCGAGCAAGCCGCCGCCCGAGGCGTTGGGCATGTCGTCCTTGAAGGCCATCACCATGGCAAACAAGCCGCGCGGCATGAAGAGCTCCTGGTTGGCGCGGTCCAAGAAGGTGTTGTTGCGGTGGCGCGACTGCAACTCGCGCGCCGTTCCAGCAACGACCTGCACCACGACACTGGCAATCTGGGCACCCATCTCGGGCACAAAGCCCACGATGCCGGCGGCGACGTAGACGACATCAATCCAAGGGCTGGCCTTGCTGGCAAGGTACCAGTCTTTGAGGAAGCGAAGAAACACGTCCTGGTTGATGCCGCAGTCGTTGAGGACGGGCGCATAGGCGCGCACAAAACCACGGGCCTTTGTACGCGGGCGGCGCTGCGGAATAATGACGGGGCAGGGGATGCGGCGCATGGGCGTTGGCGCAGGCCCGGCCATGCGGACCAGCTCGCGAACCATGCGCTGCTGCTTCTTGATCTCTTCCTTTTCCTCACCCTCGCCCTCAGCTTCTCCAACAGCTGCTTCGTCAAGGTCATTGGCCCCAGAGCCCCGACGCGAACCGTCATCGGCTGGCGAAACGGGCGATCCAAGAGTCTCGCCGGCGTCTTCCGAGTAGGCAGGCGGGTCCATGTACTCGGCCATGTCGTCGAGCTCCCAGACGGCCTCGTCATCGTAGTACCCGAAGCCGTCCGACTCGAGAAGTTGTCGCTCCTTTTCGGCAAGCTGGCGTTTCTCTTCGTCGGGTGTGAGGTAGGCAGGGGGGTCGTTGTTTGCATTCGATGGGCCAGCGACTGTGGTGTTGTTGCTGGCGTACGAAGAAGGACCAGCAGCGGGCGAACCGTCCTGCTCGCTCACTTGTCGGCTGACCGAGCGGCTATCAGATGGACTGCGTGTGTCCTCAGCGGGTGTGTTCTGGCCACTCTGGCTGCGGCTGCGGCTGTTGTCTTCGGCGTCCCTGGCAGCCTTGCTCTTGGCACGCGAGTGGTGGATGGCTTCGGACGCCAGGCCGATGCCGGCGCCGACAATCTTGACTATACCACTCATGATGATCACGAATAGGAGGAATGGAGGAAGGGAGATTGAACAAAACGAGGGAGTGAAATAAATGTATCTTATATATCCTCAATTTCCTTCGAAATGTCGAGATAGATTGGAAACGTTGGAGGACGGTAGTAGAAGAGAAGAGAGTTTCGATTGCTTGAGATCCAAGTCCTGAAGTGGGAGCGTCGTCAATTCTTATACTTTCTGTGTCTATGGGATCGCCAGTGACTTTACAATTATGCTCAGATACGCGTGTAGCATTTTGCCATTGATGCTCATCTCTCCTTGACTCCCAGGACAGGTGCATGCCCCTCACTGTCCACCGGTTGCTCCAACGTATTTCCTTTTTGGGCGACAATGGGCGAGATCGACGTGGCTCTGACCCAGCTTAGGTGCTGGCAAAAAGATTTAGCTTGGTTTCTTAGGGGGCTGCATTCCGTAGGGCGGGCTATTGGGGTAGTTAAGCTTTGAGGCTCGTGGTTCGGCGGGCTTAGAAGAGTGGCTAGTGGCTCGGTCGTTCCGTCTGACAGAGGGAACGGTTAGAATGGCTGGACACTGAAAAGAATGGGGCTATTAGGACGATCAACGGAACGGTAACTGTAATACGCGGAAGAGAGTTTGGGAGTCGTCATCATTGGATCAAAGGTGGCATCGAATACCCGCCGAAGCGTTCAGATTGGCGCGTGGGCAATTTAACTGCACCACGGCGACCGCGTCAGGCACAGGTTCCATGCATCATTACAAATCCCAGCAATTGCAGCCACAAAATACGGCGTATCTGATGCAGGCCAACTCAATCTTCGTGCACATCGCCAGAGTAGCGTTGCCAAGCGTGTCGTTCCTATGCCTTCTCTATCTTCCCTCTTGACTGGGAATCTGGCGGCTAGATTTTTTAATATAGCGGTATTAGTACCCACCATTCATAACCCGAAAACGACGGCAGGATATGAAACGAGGAAAGCCGTCTCCAACAGCATGAATTGCGAAGAGCTTCAACGAGGCCAGAACGATGCCAGCAAAACAATGCCAGCGAAACGATGCCAGCGAAAACGACGGTAGCGAGAACGAAAGCGAGCCAGCCACTGACGTCGATGCACACCTCTGGCAGCCTAACCTATTTGGGCTGTTCTTAACGTGACCGTGTACATAAATCCACGTGGACGGTCACGCCCATTTCCTCTCCAATCCAGCACGACATGACATCACGCACCTGGGTCCCTGACGGAGTAATTCATATGAATCTCGGAGTATCTCAGGGACATCCGCCATATCACCCTACAGCGACATGATAGCCTGGGATACCATAAGCTATACATGGCCAAACTTCTCTGAAAACGGCATGCAAGGGCCTGTCTGTAAGGACAATTAAACGTGACATACACTTTCTCATTTATGCATGCTGCATCGCTTAGCTTACGTCGTGGTGTTACTTACACAACATGCTACTGCCCTCTCCCCTCTTCTATTATGGCTCGGAAAACATCTGCCTAACAAAGAGACCATGGAGCCATGAAACCCCACACGAAGTGATCTGAGCTTGCGATGTGCGGGGAACCATGGAAAACGCGCCGCGTATTTCGACGCTCTCTATCCACGCTCCACGCCTCTTCATCCTAGATGTGCACAACAGCTATTCAGTCGCAGGAGGGCGCAGTCGTTGAGGGGTAATCAACAAGAGGATGTCAAGGAACGGCGTCGTACAAGTGTTACCCTGTTGTCTGGTTTTGTTTTCGTAGTATAGCTATAAAAAGGAGAGCCATCGTCCCTCCCCTTTCGACGCCTTTCCCGTCTCTTCTTTACAGTCTTGGCACCTCATCAAATGAAAGGCCTCGACAGAGTATAGTAGTGGTGGAAACACGCAACGGACGAGGAATCTCCAATACCACACACGTACAAATACTTCGAAATGGCTGCTCCCAAGTACGCTCTCGTCTTTGGCGCCAGCGGTGTCACTGGCTGGGCCTTTGTCAACGAAGTCCTGAACGACTACCCAAAGAAGGGTACCTTTGGCGGCGTCATTGCCTTGACCAACCGGCCCCTGACTCTCGAGCAGTCCCGCTGGCCCAAAGACGACCGTCTCACCATCGTGACGGGTATCGACCTGCTGCATGGGTCCCAGGAGGATCTCGAGACGACGATGAAGGCCAAGATTCCCAACCTCGACAAGGTCACCGACCACCTTTTCTTTGCATACAAGGCCAACACCGACGATAAGGTGCAGAACGAGGAGAATACCGACATGTTCAAGCGCGCCGTCTTGGCGACCGACCACCTGTGTCCCAACCTGGAGACCGTCGTCCTGCAGACCGGCGCCAAGCACTATGGCTGTCACCTGCTCTCGAACCGCCCAGCCCGTTTCGTGCCACCCTTCAAGGAGGACCTGCCCCTCCTTGAACCGCCAGCCAGCGACGGCCTCTTTTACCTGCCGCAGATGGACTTCGTCCGCGCGTATTCAAAGGACAAGAAGTGGGGTTGGATCGACACCCGCCCGGACATTATCATCGGCTTCGTGCCCAACCAAAACTTCTTCTCGCTCGGCTCGTCGATTGGCTTCTTCCTCAGCCTGTACCGCGAGATCAACGGCGCCGGTGCCGAGTGCCCCTTCCCCGGCACCGCCAAGAGCTGGGCGACGAAGAGCATCGACTCGAGCGCCGAGATGATTGCGCGCCAGACGCTGCACGTCCAGCTGTCGGACAGGTACCGGTTCGCCAAGGGTGAGTCGTTCAACGTGGCCGACGCGCGCACGCCGCGCACCTGGGAGACCCGTTGGCCGGACCTGTGCGCATACTTCGGCCTCAAGGGCGTCAAGAAGGCCGAGGACAACCCGATCGAGGTGCGCACGTACATCCGCCAGAACATGGACGTGTGGAACGGCATGGAGGTCAAGTACGGCCTGCAGTCGGGTCACGCCGACAGCCCGCGCATCCACCCCGGGTTCGAGTACTTCTTGATCACGCAGTTTGACCAGGACCGCCAGTACGACATGACCAAGATGTACGACGTTGCTGGCTTCCAGGAGGAGCGTGACACGACAAAGGCCTGGGGCCGCGTGTTTGACCACATGCGGGCGGCCAAGATTCTGCCGAGCGAGTTTAAGTAGACATTGGGGATAGGCGGCCGCTTAAGCTAGCGAAGCAAATAGGGGAAAGAAAAAAAAAATCTCCTTCCAAAAAGCAAAGGAAAATATCAATTAGATCTGTCGTGCTGGGATAGCGCATTGTCCGGTCCGACCAACCAGGATAGCCAATCAGAGAGTTACAGAGAGAATACCTCAAGATCAGAGTTGAAGCTCCGAGCAATGCCTTGAATATGGCCCAGACGGTTGCACGTTTAAAACAGGTTATCGACGCAGCGAGTGCGTCAGCGGGGATCTTCTCGGCTTTATTGCAGGGTGATGCCATGTCCAGACGATGCTGGATTGTGATGTATGTGCCAAACCCGACCAATATGTTTCCCAAAGCTCAATGGCTCGCCTTTCTTTTGGAAGATTCCAATCCTATGTGGCATGCATCGTTATCCTCCATATCATCGCACAGGGACAAGGGCACGGCTTCCGCCGCGAAACATGACAAGATGGCCGACGATACCGCAAAAGAATTCCACGCAGAACTTGAGCCCCTTCACGACCTGGCGCAAGCGAGGACACCCTCCGATCACAATCAAAACGATGGAGGAAGTATTTGTCGTGGCTTGCATGACGGCTATGACGGAACGTCGCTGCTGCTCACTTTGTCACTCTTCTCCGGGGTGCAACAGCGGAGAGCACTGTTATCCGGCCTTCGGTGGTGAGTACGACATCGCTGTCTCGCGAGTTCGAAGAAAGCAATCTTCATTCAACGGCTCATCCACCTGGTCCTATGGTCACCTCGAAATTTGGAAACCGACATCGCAGTGCGAAAATAACCATCCGACAGCGGTGGCCAACTGCTCGCTGGATACGAATGACACTCTACAGGTGGTGACGCCATCCCAAGTTGTCACATGAAACTATCGCAATTGGTCCGTCTTAGCGACGGCAGCAGTAACGGGCCAGGCCGGCTACAGAAGGTGATGGAGGCGGCAACAGCAGGAGCGTAGCCAGGCCCGGGCGGTTGGACGCTTCTGTTGATGGGTGGAGCTTGGGCCAGGCTGCGTGGGCCACTACAGCGTGGGATGGACAGTTGTGCCCGGGTGCAATCAATTAAAGTTTTGGCGGCGTAAGACGGTTATCGTCGCCTCAATTGTTGACTGGATTTAAGCGATCCCGTAATGGCGAATTTCGGTGATTCGGCAAGATACAAAACACGCACCAGAATGTCCGTCATTCACATGCTTCCCTTTGTCCTTGTCTCTGCCGTCAAGGCCAACTCTGATGCCATAGGCCACGCTTTCTTTAGAGGGCGTTTCGGATGATTCACGGCGGTTCGTTTCCACCCAGCTTCTACGAGCCTTGAATCCGATGACCACACGCTTCAACAAAATGATAAACAAAGACCAATACAAACATCCAACCATCCAACGCATATGATGCCCACTGTTGCGTTGAGTATCCGGGTTCGGGACCGCGCATCAAGCCAGGCCCAATGTGGCAACGGCACGACTAATTCTCCGTGCAGGTAGGGGCCTTTTTGTTCCTAAACTGGGAGACTGGTTCGCCTTCGGCCTTCAACCAGTGGCGCAAAATGCGAGCTCGGCATGCAAAAGCGTCTACAGGGCAGGCTTATCGCCTATATGGCCGGGCCGGCAATCGGCAACGCTAGTGGATGCTTTTCTTTACCATGTTGAAGGTTGCAAAACACTGCAACTTGTGATGCAATCGTACAGTCATTTTGTCAACTGGCAACTGGTTTTTATTCGCTTTTTAACTTCGTTTATATCTGCAGCAAAGCCCACCCAAATAGCTGGAAACAGGAGGACACTATGAGTAGAGACTCAAACCGACCAACCACAATTACCATTACACAAATGCAACTCAGACAATCTCACACCAATGATAGCACATCAACAGCAAGCGGAAACAAGACCGGAGTGCCAAGAGAATGTTGATTCTAAGACGATTAACAACACGAACGCACACAATCCTCAGAATATCGTACACGGACATGATGAAACCGAAAAATGGCTAGGAGACCCGAACAGCCCTCCGTCGGCGTCGGCATGGCCAGCTGAACCACCCAGCGAGGAGCCTGTCCCTGATGGCGTCGCCATAGAAGAGAAAGGCATGGGAATACACCATGCGCCGGCCGGTAGCGTGCACAGCAGCGGGGATGAAGAAGGCGAGATCGAAACCGGCGGAGCTGCGGATGGACTGCCTCTCGACGCTGTGCAGTCTTCTGTTCCGGAACGCTACTCCGTGTACAGCCTGTGGGAGAAGCGATGGATTGTGCTGGCCGTGTCGGCCGCCGCCTTTTTCTCGCCTGTGACTGCACAGATTTACTTGCCGGCGCTGAATCTCATCGCGGCCGATTTCCGCATTACGGCAACGCAGGTCAACCTCACTATGACCACGTATATGATCCTCCAGGGCGTCACACCCATGTTTGTGGGTGGCCTCGCCGATGGTGCCGGTCGGCGCCCAGCGTACATGGTCTGCTTCATCGTGTACATCTTGGCCAATGTGGGCCTGGCCGTGTGCAAGAACTACGCCTCGCTTCTCGTGGTGCGCTGCATCCAGTCAGCCGGCTCCAGCAGCACGATCGCGCTGTGCCAGGCCGTCGTCGCCGACATTGTGACCAGTGCCGAGCGCGGCCAGTATATTGGCTTCACGGTGCTTCCCACGGTGCTGGCACCAACAGTGGGGCCGATCTTGGGCGGTGTACTCTCCCAGTACCTCGGCTGGCGGTCCATCTTCTGGTTCCTGGTGATCTCGTCGGCCGTCATGTTTGTCGTGCTGCTGCTCTTTTTGCCCGAAACGTGCCGCAACATCGTAGGAGATGGCTCCATTCGGCCACATCCCATGTACCGGACATTCTGGCAGCTGTTTCAGGACTGGAACCAGAAACGAGCGCAGCATCAACGGCACAAGAAACAGAGAAAGGAGCTGGAAGGCACCAACACGAACAGCAACAAGAACAACAACGAAATGGGGGACAGCGGCCTGCTGCATAGCACTTCGCTGGCGCTGACCGCAACACGCGCCAGCTCCGTCCGGCCACCACTCCGAGTCAAGTTTCCCAACCCGCTGCGGTCGCTATTGATGCTGTTTGAAAAGCAAATCGGCCTTCTCGTCGGCTACAATGCCATTATATTTGCCGGCTTCTACTCGATTTCGGTGGCAATGCCGTCGCAGTATGCACTGATTTACGGCTACAACGACCTCGTTATTGGCCTCATGTACATGTATGTTCACTTATAGCCGCGCCCTCCGTTGCGATGAGAGGCAAGGTAGCGATGTGCTAACCTTTTAGACCAATGGCAGCTGGATCGGCACTCACAGCCTTCGTCATGGGACCGCTGATGAACTACAACTACCGCCGTCACGCCCGCCGCCTCGGCCTGCCCGTCGATAAGTCCCGGCAGGCCGACCTCGCCGATTTCCCCATTGAACGTGCTCGCCTCGAGGTCGGTATACCGCTCGCCGTTCTAGCCACAGTCGTGATCCTGTGCTGGGGCTGGGTGCTCGAGAAACGGGTCTCTGTCGCCATTCCCTGTGTGCTCAACTTCTTCTATGGCATGGGCATGATCGGCTTCAACAATGCCACCAGCGTCTTGCTGATTGACGTGTCGCCCGGTCATGCGGGCGCCGCCGTGGCCGCCAACAACCTTGCGCGGTGTCTACTGGGCGCGCTCTTCAGTGCTGTCATTGTGCCCATGATCAACAAGCTGGGCATTGGTTGGGCATTCGTGCTGCTGGGTCTGCTGTACGCCGCGTTCCTGCCACTCATGTTTTTGTTGATGCGCAACGGCATCCGGTACCGGCGCGAGAAAAAGGCCAAAGATGACCGGCGGCAGCAGTGCAAGGCCGAGAAGCGGGAAGCCAAGGAGAGAGAGGAGAAAAGGGTGGCTGCGATTGTTCAAGGTGAAAATGCTGTGTAGCAGTGGATTGAGGTCGCGTTTTGATTTGTAACGACATCATGATATGGCCCGGAGTTATTGGGAGCGATTTGATTGATATGATGAGACCGGAATAGCACAAAATATGAAAGGTGAAGACAATTGATATAACAAAGTATATCTACTCCAAACTACCGAGTGCGCATTGACCAAACGGCTACCCCCCCTCCTTGCCTTTAGGTTTTAAAAATAAAATCAAGTCCCACGATATGTACAACGCCCAATGCTGATAGAGCACGAGCCAGAAATGAACTGTCCAATAAAAAAAAAGAAAACAAAAAAACCCCAAAAAACCCATCCAAACACATAAATGAAAAAGTAGTGTTTAAAGGAACCAAATACAGGCTTGCAAATCTGTCCATGTTAGACATAGCAATCACTCTGTCTTTGGTGTAAAGGCTTGTTGAAAGACTAAAAAAAATGTAAGAAATTTCTGAGAGACGAGACACGAACCAAAAACGAAAACGGAGGTGATACACTTACCCGCAAAAAGTTATGTCTTAGCTTCCTCGGCTCAAGTCAAGGAGAGCGTGGGCAGCGAACAGCCTGTCAGCGTCCTGTTGCGTCATACCCTCAATGAAGCCCTTCTCAAGCTCGTTCAGCTTAAAGTGGCGCTTGCTTGTCACAATATGCTGCTCTGGACTGTAGCCCCATTGCTTGCTGGTGTCCGAGAACTTCTTGGCCACGTAGCCAAGCTCGACGTATTCTGTGAACCGAGCCAGGTTCTGTCGATCGGACTCGAGCGCCTTGAAGAACGTGGTTGTGGCCGCTTTCTCACAGGGTGGTGGTGATGAGGCTGCTGATATGGGATGCGAATTGGCCTCGGAATCGGAGGGAGTCCAGAAGCGGCGCGAGGGAGAGATAGAGGCGGAGGAACTGCTGCGGATTTTAGGTGATGCTGATGCCGATCGTTCGCGGTAATAGCTTGCATAGGCCGGCAGTGGCACTTCAGAGACCCGAGAGCCTTTATTCATCGACACCCGGTTCGAGGCCACTCCAGCACGCCTGACAAGCGCATGTTTGGCAGGAATTCCCGCCGCAAGAGGACGCAGGGAATCCTTGCTGCGCTTGGCTGATCGAGGCGGGCTGAAAATTGGAGCCATTGTAAAGGATTCGAGGGCGGGACTCTGATGTTTAATAAAGATCGTTATAAATGAATAGATGAACGGCACGAAATGTTAAACAGAGCCTGGGGAGGGATGGTGATCGATCTTGAACTGTTTGCTGCACGAGACGAACAGATATTTGTGAATTTCAGCTGAGGAAATAATTCAAAGCGAAAGGGAAAGAGCAAGGATAGGAGAAGGAAGAAGTGGCAGGCCAGACAGCATTCTCTTGTAAACTAGACTCCAGGAAGGAGCAGGCAAACATAAGGTTCTGGCTATCTAGCTAGCGAAACGAACCATCATTATACTGGCAGTGCCACCATACACGTCATATAAAAAGTGACATGTCTTTATAAGAGCTTTCAATGTTGTTTAGACAGATAAATAAAGTTCAAGGGCCACGGTATTCCACGATCAACGGGCGCAGAACTGAGATGCATTGTTGAAAGCTTTCCTTTGCCCGGGCTACAGTTCCAACAAGTATATAGGTAACGTATGCCATCACATCACCAAAACTGTAAGATGATATCATGCTTCTAAAACAATGTGATTTTATATCCAGTTCCAACGTTAACTCTTGCTCTTGTATGAGGCTCATGCGCACGCTTTGCTCAGTTGATGTCGGGGTTACTACTTCCTTTTTAGGTAATT